GAGGAAAGCCAATTGCCATGCGGTCAGTTTACCTATGAAAAGGCAGTAAAGAATGAGAAAGGCCAGGCAGCATCGAGTCCTTCAATCCAACAACCCAGACAATGACCTGTGATTTTGAAGTGGATCATCCCCAAGTCAAGCCTTGAGATGAGACCACAGCCCCAGGCATCACCCTGATTGCAACCTCAGAGAGACCCGGAGACACAGGCACTCAGGTAAACCAAACTCAAATTCCTGACCCACAGGAAATAAAATATAATAAATGTGTGCTATTTTGAGATACTATGCTTTAGAGTGATTTGTTAGTCAGCAGTAAAGAACCCGTATATTATTCTTGCCTTGTATAAAGTTTTAATAAAGAGCACAAAGAATATTAATTTCTGCTCAAGCAAACTCTTAATTTGTGTTGTTCAGGTCTTCACCTTACAAGTTTTTTAGCTGCTTAATTTTCTAATTTAGAAAAGTACTGAAATTTCTTTTTATCATTTTTGTAGTTGTCTCTTTCTCCCTGTAACTTTATCAATTCGACTTTATATTCTCGAAGCCATTAAATTAGATGCTTAGAAGGTTCTAGTATAGTAAGCCTTTGATCAGGCAGCATGTTATGGTGGTAAGTGCATGGACTCTGGAGACATACTGCCCTCTGGATTTGAATCCTAACCTTACTTCTTATTAGCTGAATGACCTTGAACAAATGACTTAACCTGTATCCCTTAATTTCCTCACTTGAAAAATGGAAATAGAAATAATGCCTACATGGCAGGATTGAAATGAGGTTTATTTTTTTTATTTTTTTTTTCAACGTTTATTTATTTTTGGGACAGAGAGAGACAGAGCATGAACGGGGGAGGGGCAGAGAGAGAGGGAGACACAGAATCGCAAACAGGCTCCAGGCTCTGAGCCATCAGCCCAGAGCCCGACGCGGGGCTCGAACTCACGGACCGCGAGATCGTGACCTGGCTGAAGCCGGACGCTTAACCGACTACGCCACCCAGGCGCCCCTTTAATGTTTATTTTTGACGGAGAGAGAGAGACAGAGCATGAGCGGGTGAGGGGCAGAGAGAGAGGGAGATACAGAATCCGAAGCAGGCTCCGGGCTCCGAGCAGTCAGCACAGAGCCCGACACGGGGCTCGAACCCACAGACCGCGAGATCATGGCCCGAGCCGAAGTCGGACGCTCAACCGACTGAGCCACCCGGGCACCCCGCCTTGGTCCTCATTTTACGTACGAGTTCAATACAGAGTAGTCAACGAGCGTAAAGTACTCGTACCCATGACTGGCTCGTGGCAAACCTGTGTTTGTCAAGGTTGTTTTTATCACCCCATCTTTCATCAACTCTAAGATGTCATCAATTGTAAAAGATGCCACCGAGGGAAAAAAGAACGCTGCCAGTTTACTACGTCCCGAGTCTCTTTCATCACGAGAGCCTTTATTTCATGCTTCCCGAAGGAGCTCTTTTTGACTTAGACATAGGCTCTCATCATAAGTCTGAGGCACACACGTAAAAGGGAAGATAGAGGCAAAATAAATTGTTTATGGGGTTCGGAAAACTCCTTCACATTTAGAGTCCGATCGATAGAGGCGTGATGCCTGTATGTTTCGCTGCCACCTCCTCCAGGGAGCCTTCGAGAGTGCCGGCGAGAGCGCGGCAGCCCCCTCCACGATCCATACGACAACCAGAAAACCAACAGCCGTAGGAGGCGGCTCTTAGCCCAGCTCTGCAATGACTTCTGCTTTGGGAGTGTTAGTGACAAGCCTAATTCTCCTCCCTGGGGGCTCCCACCGTTTGAATCCTGGGGTTCCAGGAGTGCTCAGCTCTTGCCTCCGGGGATTTCTTCCAAGCTGCTGACTCCCTTTCTGCAGGGTGTGATGCTTCTGAAGTGTGGGCACATGCAGGCAGTGACAGCTACGTGAGGACTGCAGCCAGCCAGAAAGCCACTCTACAAGGTAACCTGACTTCCGAGACTTAAACGTGAGCCATCAAGTGTCTTGGGATCAATGGCACATGAATAATTCCTGAACTTTGCGCTGGCCGGGCTTCTAGCTGCCGCCGAGCCCTTGCACATTCTGTCTCTGCTCTCTCCCCGCCTCCCCACTTTGTCTACTTACCCCGGCCCCCCCCCCCATCTAGGCTTCCTCGAGGAGCCCCCTCTGGGATGCCTTGCCTGGCCCTCCCAGGAAATCTGTCTCTTTGCTGTCTACGCACATAGGATGGCTGCAATGCTACATTTTGAGCACGTGTGTGATTTTGGGGGGGCGGCCGCCTCCCCAGTGTACTGGGAGGCCCACGGGTGTGGGGACTATGTGGCTTTTGCACCATGGCAGCACCGGGCACTGTCCGGCTCCGAGCCGGTGCATGACAGAATGAATCTGGAGGCTCCGTAGTGAGCAGTGAGCGAGCTGGGGTGTCCTCCCGGACAAATGTCTGTCTGAGACATTTGCTGCTGGCCTCGGCTGTACGCGTCTTCCCCCAGTCCCCCAGAGGCCGGAGTCCAAGCCATTTCTTTTACAGCCGGGAAACTGAGGCCCGTCGGGTCGCAGAGCCACGGCCCCGGGTCCTGGCTCAGTGCAGGGTGCACAGAGAATGGGGGAGGGTGGGGTCAGAGGAGGGGTTCTCGCTTCTGGCTGGGGTGCAGAGGAGACTTACTGGGGCGGTAGCATCTGCCACCGGCTTCCCAGAGGCCCTGGGAGATGCAAGGCGGAGGTCCCCTTCTCTGGTTTCAAGTTTCCAGAGAGGCGGAGGGCTCTCCGGCCATTGTTCCTTGGGCCCGGAGAGCTGGGGGCCTTACCCCTGCGCGGCCCTGACCCCACCTTCCCCTGCTAACCCCTGGGCCGGCCCTGCGGAGATGCTGGGAGGACGTGGGGTGCTGAGGTGGGGGCCGAGGCAGGACTGTGGGGGCGCACAGGCCCGCGTGCACCCGGAAGGAGGAAGCTGCACAGGGTGTCTGTGGCCGGGCCGGGATCCCCGACCGGGGGACTTCCTCTTCCTCTTGGGGCAGGTGTAGCTGCCACAGCGGGACCAACACCGTGACCCTGTCATGGATGGGGGCAAGGGGCCCAGACTCAGAGACTTCCTGAGTGGGAGCCTGGCCACCTGGGTGAGGGGGCAGGTGGGAGGGGTGTGGGGAGGGGAAGTGAGAGCGGGGGAGGGGCCAGTGCCGGGTTTGGGGGAGGGTCCGGTAGAGTCGGAGCCCCGAGGGCAGGGGTGGGCTCAAATGTGGGGCTGGAGAAGTCCAGGTAGGCTTCGGGCAGGAAAAGGGGTCCGGACCCTGGGGCCGGAGGCCTTCAGGGCAAAGGAGAGGAGGAGGCTGCACGCGCTCAGGGGGCAGGTCAGAGGGGCTGGGGAGTCACTCTGCTGGTAGGGGAGTGCCTAACCGGGCCGGCCGACCCGTCTCCACTCCCCCACAGGCGCTGGGACTGGCCGGCCTAGTGGGAGAGGCGGAGGAGCCGGAGGAGGAAGAGGAGGAGGAAGGAGAGGGGCCCCTTGGCCCGGAGAAGAGGTTCCTGCATCTCATCGATGGGGCCCTGCTGCTCCGCGTGCTGGGCCTCGTGTAAGAAGCAGCCCGCCAGCCCGGGGGTCTGAGGTGGCCCCTCCCCCCACAGGCTGCTGGGAGGAGCTTGAGGGCTGGTGGGTGGGGCTTGCTTGGGGCAGGTGGGTCCCTGATTGCCCCTCCCACCCGGCTCCCTGTGCCCACAGAGTTCCCAGTTCCCGAGGAGGACCTCAGACGGTCAGGGGCCCTGATGGTCCCGCAGCCTGGCGAGTGCGGAACCTGAACCACCTGTGGGGCCGCCTGAGGGACTTCTACCAGGTGAGGGGCTGGGGAGGGGAGGCTGAGCCTCAGACCCGTGGGAAGGCCCGTCTCCCACCTCCTGTCCCCTCTGCCCCCCAGGAGGAGCTGCAGCTGCTGGTCCTGTCGCCACCCCCAGACCTCCAGACGTTGGCTTTTGACCCCTTCTCAGGTGCTCTCTCCCACCACCCCTTCCTGCCTCTACCCCCTCCCTCCACCCCTAACTTTTTGTGGCTTGTGCCCAGCAGAGGAGGCAGTGGAGGAGTTGGAAGGCATCCTTCGGCTGTTGCTGGGGGCGTCAGTGCAGGTGAGCGGGGGAGGGGAGGGAGGGGAAGGGAGGGTTCGGCTTTGGCCGCAGAGGTGGGAGAGACACCTGGTGCCAGCATTTGCACTCTGTCTGCCTGCAGTGCGAGCACCGGGAACTCTTCATCCGACACATCCAGGGCCTCAGCCTCGAGGTCCAGAGTGACTTGGCTGCCGCTATCCAGGAGGTACTAGGGCTGGTCCACAGCCTGGGACTGGCCCTGCCACCGGGGGGCACTTGCCCCTCCACTTCCTCTGCTGAACTGCTCTCTCTACCTGGTCCAGGTGACCCAGCCTGGGGCAGGCGTGGTGCTGGCACTGGCTGGGCGAGAGCCTGGGGAGCTGGAGCCTCAGGAGCTGGAGATGCTGTTCCAGAGCCTGATGGGGACCTTGTTAAGGCTGGCGCGGGAGCGCGACGTGGGGGCCCAGGTAGGGGGCATGGCACCGCCCAGGTGGAGGGCTGGGAGGACCCTGGGGACCCAGATGTGGGAGGAACTGGGGGTTGGGGCCGGATGTGGGGTTCGCATGGGGGGTCTTGGACCAGCAGAGCTGCAAGAGCCAGACTGGGGGACAGGGGGGTGGGGGAGGGTTATTTCTGGCTCCCGACCCTTGACTTTGCACAGCGCCTGGCCGACATGTTGCTGGAGAGACAGCCGGCCCCCTTGCTGCCGGAGGCTCCTGCTAGGACTCCTCCAGAGGGTCCCTCACACCACCTGGCCCTGCAGCTGGCCAACACCAAGGCCCAGCTGCGGCGCCTGCGGCAGGAGCTGTGAGTGCCCCAGGCTGGGAGGCGGACCTGGAGGGAGAGGGGCAGGTTAGGCGCGGATGCAGATGGGTGGGATCAGGCCTGGGGGTTCCGGGTTCCCCCGCCCCTCCAGCGTCCCTTCTCTTCTCTCCAGGGAGGAGAAGGCCGAGCTGCTGCTAGACTCCCAGGCGGAGGTGCAGGGCTTGGAGGCCGAAATCCGAAGGCTCCGCCAGGAGGTGCGCTCAGATGCTCCCCGCCGCTGCCGCATTCCCCGGCCCTCTCCCCACACCCCCTCTGCCCCACTGCCTGCCGCCAGCCGGGGTCCTCCCCCTCCCTGATCCCTCTGGCCCGCGGCTGGCCGTCCCCAGCTCCGCACCGTCTGGCTCAGGCCCAGGCGCTGTCGGGACAGGCCAAGCGGGCCGAGCTGTACCGCGAGGAGGTAGAGGCGCTGCGGGAGCGCGCCGGCCGCCTGCCCCGCCTGCAGGAGGAGCTGCGACGCTGCCGCGAGCGGCTGCAGGCGGCCGAGGCCTGCAAAAGCCAGCTGGAGGTGAGGCGGGAGGCGGGGCCCGCAGGGGACGGGGTGGGCCGGGGAGGGGGGGGGAGCGAATTGGGGGCTGGCCTGGAGAAGGGAGGGCTTGGTCTTGGGGACCGAGCAGTCACCGCCAGGAGAAATGGGTGAGGTGGTGTCTGGGGCAAAGCCCTCTGGAGGATGGGGCAGAGGGAAGGGAGAGGTGGGGACGGTAGGTAGGGGTAGGTCCTGGAGAGGATGAGTGTAGGGGAAGAGCTGTCTGGAGTGAGCCCCTCGCTGTGGATCCTAGAAGGACGCCAGCCTGGGAGGAGGGTCTGGGAGAGAAGGGGCGTGGCTTACACAGAAGGGGCGGGGCCAGGTGCTAGGGAAGTGGTCCCTGGAAAGACCTTGGTGGAGAGGGAGGGGCAGATGGAAGGGAGAGGTGGGGCCTGGAGTGCTTGGGGGCAGCCTCACACCACAGGTCGTCTCTGCTCTCCCATCAGGAGGAACGGGTGCTCTCGGGGGCTCTGGAAGCCTCGAAGGCGCTACTGGAGGAGCAGCTGGAGGCCGCTCAAGAGCGTTGCGCTCGGCTGCATGAGACCCAGCGTGAGAACCTGTTGCTGCGGACTCGTTTGGGCGAGGCCCGCGCGGTGAGACTGCCCCAGGGACCCCCGGTCACTCTTGTCATCTGTGACCCCTGGTAACCCCAATGGCCCCCCAGGGTTCTCCAGTGCTCCCTGTGACCCCCTACTCCTTTTTTCCCCTGGTGATCTAGCCCACACTCTTGGCCCGGCCGTGGTGAGGGGGGCTGGTCTGACCCTGTCCTTCCCCCAGGAGCTGGACTCTGTGCGGCATCAGGTGGACCAGCTGGCCGAGGAGAATGTGGAGCTGGAGCTGGAGCTTCAGCGGAGCCTGGAGCCACCCCTGGGCTCTCCTGGGGAGGGTGAGTAGGGCCCCAGAAGAGGGGCTGGGGACAGCGGGGGTAGGGGGGCTGCCTGCGGTTTCCTGCAACTCTAGTGGGGCTGGCTGCTGACTCATCCTTTCCCCAAGGTGTTGGGGGGGGGGGTGTGTAGGGGTGGATGTGAAGAGCCGGGGATCCCAGCAGAGGGTACAGAGGGGCCCTGACCGCATCGCCCATGTCCCAGCACCCCCGCCCGGAGCAGCTCCTTCGCTTCATGATGAAGTGAGAGAGGCAGAGGCCCGGCGGCTGCGGACCCTGGAGAGGGAGAACCAGGAGCTTCGGGGCTTGCTACAGGTGCTACAGGGGCAGCCTGGAGGCCAGGTGAGTCCCCTCCCCCAACCGGCCAACAGGTCCTTCCTTGCCTCCTCCTCTGGGCTTGACGGGTCCTCTCATGTGCCCTCAGCACCCCCTGCTGGAGGAGCAGAGCGAGGACTCCTTGGTTCCAGAGCTGGATGTGGCTCCCCAGACTTGCCTGACCTCAGACCGTGGCCCCCAGGGTTTGGCTGGCCAGGTGGGGGATGGAGGCACCCAGGCCTTGGACCTGGCTTCCCCCGTGTCAGACTCGGCCCTTGCGAGATTACCCGTGCGTCCCCAGGCATCTGACTCAGGCCCACAGGTGATAGAGAGGCCCCTCCAGACGGCTGCCATGACCCCTCAGACCTCAGACTTGACCCTCCAGGAATCAGGTTCTGTTGTAGCAGCACAGGAGTCCCTGGAGAAGGCTGGCCATGGAACCCTTCTCCAGACTCCCACCTCCGCGGTCCCATCTCAAGATCCAGAGACTGAAATTCAGGCTGAGCTGTCGGGAGGAGACACTGGAGAGTCAGGGCCCGAAGCCCAGGTGCGGAGACAGGAGGGCCCTGAGAGCAAGCCTGCAGCCTCGGAGCTTAGCCTCTGTGCTCAAATGGAGGAGCAGGAGACCCCAGGCCAAGGGCTGGACCTACTCAAGGGGCAGACAGAGGGCAGGGAACATGCACAGAAGCTGGAGGGGTTGGTTGGGGACCCAGCCCAGCAAAATCCACAGCAGAAGTCGGAACGGGCTTCGGAGGCCCAGACCTGGGAGGGGCCGATCCCAGGGGAGATCCTGGCTGGTGGTGTCCCGGAGCAGGAGGCCCTGAGGGAGGAGGTGGCCCAGCTGAAGAGGGAGGCCGAGGCACTGGGAGCGGAGCTAGAGGCCCAGGCCCGGCGGCTGGAGGCCCGAGGCACGGAGGCCGCCCGGCTCTCCGAGGAGCTGGCTCAGGCGCGGAAGGCAGAGGCCGAGGCCCAGCGGGAAGTGGAGGCCCGGGCCGGGGAGCAGGCTCGGCTGCGGGAGGCAGTGGAGGCAGCCGGCCGGGAGCTGGAGGCTGCGGCGCGTGAACGGGAGGCGCTGGCAGAGGCCCTGGCGACAGCGGGCCGAGAGCGGAGGCAGTGGGAGCGCGAGGGGCCCAGACTGAGGGCCCGGGCCGAGGCCGCCGAGGAGCGGCTGCAAGTGCTGGAGAGCGAGGGCCGTCAGCGCCTGCAGGAGGCCGAGAGGGAGAGGCAGGCCCTCAAGGAGGTATGTTGGGGCTGGCGGCCTGGGATGGGAAATGGGGGCCTGAGTCACTTGCTGGGGTTTGGGTGATCAATCCCATCGGTAGCCACCGAGTGCCCCAGCACCTGGCCGGGGCTGGAGACCGAAAGGTAAAAGCCCACCTCTGCCTTCCAAAGGTGCGCTTGACCTGGGTCACAGGACGGATGTCCCCTCCCTCTGGAGGGGTGGGCTGTAGCAGGGGATGAGAGTATGGGTACGGACCCCGACCGCCTGGGTGCAAATCCTGGCTCTCTGACTGTGGCAGCTGACTCCCCTCTGCCCTATTCCTCCTCCGTAAAACGGGGGTGCGGCTCTGCATAGCCGTCTCAGTGGGTCTTTTGAAGATCAAGGGAGATCACGGTGTGCGGAGCCTAGTTCCTGCTTGATAAAGGCACAAGACAGGGTCATTATTAAGAGCAAAGTGGGCAGGAGTCCGTGGGAGAGGGTGCCGGGGTGGGGGCAGGGAGGCTTTGGAGAAGGTTCTGAGGAATGGTCAAGGTTCCACCAGGTGGGAAGGGCATTTCATGTAGAGGGAACAGCATGTGCAGAGACCCGAAGGCATTCATGATGCTGAGGGGCCTGGGAGGTGGGGGAGCAGGGCCAGAGAGGCGTGCTGGGCCAGCCTTGTGGGCGTCAGTACTCTGGCCCCGGGCAGGGAAAGCCACCCAAGCATGTGGACAAGCCTTTGTGAGGTTGGGTTTGGGGAGGGTCCCCTTGGTGTGTCCCTTTGGTGTTCCCTCGGGCCCTCAGGAGGTGGTGCCGGTGGTCCTGGTGGCAGGTGAGGCCGGCTGGGGCTGGGACGGGGCATGGAGGAGAGAGAAAGCCTGGAAACGCCTTCCTTTGTGTGCTCAAGCGTGTTGACGGGACCTTGCCACTAGATGCTGTACCAGGCAGCCAGTGTGCCCATACTGGTTGGGGGGGAGGGGCTTTCATAGTCTAGGGTGGCGAAGGGACTGTGCAGGGAGCTGTGGGAGTCCAGGAAGCACACTGGACTTAGGCCGCGGCATGTCCCGGAAGGCTTCCTGGAGGAGGAGAGAGAATGGCAGCGAGCCAGGAGGAGGCGCAGGCATGACCGTATAGGGGTGGGGTGTGAGGTGGGAAGTGGAAGGAACCTAGGCAGAGAATTCACTAAGCCCGGTTCCTGCTGGGCAGGGCCTCTGTCTTCCTTTCAAGCTAAGGAACGAGTTGCGAGTTGCGGCTGTGCTTGTGAAGGAGATGACCTCCATGACCTTTACGGGAGGCCAATGACCTTGAAACCCGGTGGAGGGTTGAGGGCGAGCCGAGTAGTCGGGTACTCGTGTTGAGAGGCCCCTCGGGGGAAGCGGGGGAGGCTAGGAGGCAATTGAGAAGGGTGTTCGGGCCAGCGGGGGCCCGTGCCACGGGGGAGGGTGGGCTGTGGACGGGGAATCGAATCTTCCAGCTGAGCACAGGGTCCGGGTTCATCCCTGTTGTACAGAGGTTGCTGGGATTCAGAGAGAAGGAGTGATTTGCCGGGAGACCCCTCTGAAGGAGAAGAGTGGGGAACACACTGTGGGGCGCGCCCAGGGCTAGGCGTTGCGCAGGGCAGGCCCCGGGGGAATGTGAGAACGGGGGCGTGGGTGAGAAGGCAAGGCCGAGAAGCTGTCTGCGGGGTCCACTCTGTAGGACGTGACCGAGAGATGCTCTCAGGCCGACCTGGCTTAGAGCCCAGATCCCCCGCCTACCAGCTGTGTGGTTAGGGGCGAGTTGCTTCCTCACCTATAAGACGGAGTAAAAATGGCACGCCTTACAGGATCCTGTTAGATAATGAACGTAGCGGGCTGGGGGCAGCTCTGGGGTGAATGGAGGCAGGTGGGCAGTGCAGGGGAGGGGAGGGCTGGTGGGGCTAGAAGGGCCTGAGGATACAGGGGAATGTTGTGAGATTTCCTGGGCCGACAGGTTCCTGGTGCTAACTGGGTGTGGTGTAGGAGGAGGTGGCTAGCCAGGGAACCAGGGGCCAAAGGGCTTGTCCAGGCGGGCTGGGTAGAGAGGTCGGGGCACTGAGGGCTGTGGCCGGGGCCTGGAGGGGCCAGAGGTTCAAGCCTCTTTTAATCTGTGTCATTGTTATTCTTACCCTTAGCCCTTGGGCTGTAATGGTGGTGTTGGGGGGGGGGGGGGCGGTGAGGCAACAAGCAGCAGGGCCTCATGGGACTTGTAGTTTTCCAGCCAACCCGGGGGTGGGCGGGGCGGGGGGGGGAGATTGGGTGGGGCTGCAAAGCCTAGAAGATCAGAGCAAACCGCCGTAGACTTGGTTTCCAGAGCAAGGATATGGTAGGCTGCTGGTCGGAGTTGGTTCTTCCTTGTGGTTTCATCCTGACAGCCCCTCCCCCACCTCCTAGAATGGTTTGGCCCATCGCCCTCCCAGGCCCACAGGCCAGAGTGGGCCTCCTGCCCCCTTCCACAATGGTGCGGCCCAACCGCCACAGGACGCCTGGCCTGGCGCCCCAGCGGCTCTCCCCACCCCGCCCCCCCCAGCCCCCACTGCGGTTGGGCCTGACGTTGGCCACATCCCTATCCTTGCAGCCATCTCCGTGTGGCTGAGGGCGCTCTTCAGATCTGCCTCTTTCAAGCCCCTCTTGCCCTCACATGGCCAGCCTGGCCTCATCACGTAGGGCACATCTAGCTGCTCCTGGGCGCATGAGGAGCCAGGGGCTCAGGGAGGTAAAGACGCTTGACCGCGAGTGTCTCTAACTCCCGGATCAGAGGCCTCCCTCACCCACTGCCAGGCCTACAGTCCCCAGCTCTTCCGTAGTCCCTCTGCAAGGCAGCCAGGCCTTGCTCCCATTTTACAGATGGGGGGGCGGGGGTAGAGGCCCAAAGGGTTAAAGATGTTTGCCCGGGGCGGGGCGCCTGGCCGGCTTAGTCGGTAGAGCAGGGACTCTTGATCTCAGGGCCTTGAGAGCCTAAAAACCAAAACCGACATTTGCACAGGGTGACAGAGGAAGGGTAGAAAGCTAGGTCTCCAGACCCTGAGGCCTTGGGATCGAGGCCTCCTCATCACCCCCACCCCCCATCCGGGACGGGGATGGTGGCCTGACCTTGGCTCTGCCGCACCCGCCCTCAGGAGCTAGAGAAGGCCTGGTTGAGGGGCCAGGAGCTGGGGGCCCGGCTGGAACACCTGCAGAGTGAGCTCGAACAGGCGGGTCTGGAGCGACAGGCGTTTCTGCGGGAACAGGAGATCCAGCAACAGAGGTGGGGTCATCGCCCAGGGGGCAGAGAGGGGCGGGCAGGGCTCGGGGAAGGGTGGGTGCCAAGGCTTCTTCCCGGCAGGTACCAGGGCCTGGAGCAGCGGCTGGAGGCTGAGCTGCAGGCGGCGGCCACGAGCAAGGAGGAGGCGCTGAGGGAACTCAAGATGAGGGCCCTGCAGCTGGAACAGGAGCTGGTCCAGGTGAGGCTCCGCCCCGGGCTCCCGTCCCTGCCGCCCCTCTGGTCTCGCCCCTTGAGTCTTGGCCACGCCCTTGCCTTGAGGCCCAACTTGGGCCTACTGGGGAGAGCACTGTGCTGGGAGTCAGGCTGACTCTGCCCAGGCCACGTGATCCTCTGGGGGGGGGGGGCCTCGATTTCCCCATTCCTCAAATGGACGTCACCCAGCAGCGGTCTGCTCTGAGTCTCTCTCACTTCCTAGTGAGCTCAGTCCCTGTCGTCGCTCTAGGTCGGCCGTTGTTTCTGAGGCCCCTGCTTGCATAGGCGCTCAGCTCAGGGCTCAGCTCAGGGGTGTGGCGGGGTCCCCACACCGGGCGAGGAAACAGGCCACCCTGACACAGGGTGCCGAGGGACAGTGGGCACCCGGCAGGCCACCTGGTGGGTACACAGAGGGTTGGTTGGGGCAAAGTGGCATTGACCGCGGGGCCCGGAGGAAGAGCAGGGGTGGGAAGGGTGTTCTGGGCAGGAGAAGCAGCCGGGCAGAGGCTGGGCTCTGCTGCAGAACGGAGCGACAAGGAGAGTGACCCATGCACCTGCGGGAGCCAGGAGCGCGGCACTGCGGGACCTGGTGGCGGCGGGCCAGGGGCCGTGTCAAGCGCTGCCGAGGGCGTGAGGGTCCCCTCCACGCCCCCCCCCCCCCCCCCCCGCATGACCTCCCAGGGCCTGTCCTTCCAGCTGCGCCAGGGCTCCGTGGGACGGGGGCCGGAGGGGCACGATGAGCTGAGGATCCCGGGGGCCCAGAGTGGGCGGCTCATCGAGATGGAACGCAGCGTGAGTGTCGACTGCTGTGCGGTGGGCATGCGGAGGGGCGGCCCCTGTGGCCTGGCCCCCGCTGACCCCCCCCCCACCCCCTTCCCGGCAGAATGCAACGCTGGTGGCCGAGAAGGTGGCTTTGCAGGGGCAGCTCCAGCACCTGGAGGGGCAGCTGGGCAACCTGCAGGGCCGGGCCCAGGAGCTCCTCCTGCAGAGTCAGCGGGCCCAGGAGCACAGCAGCCGCCTGCAGGTGGGTGACAGCCCCAGGGGCCTGTCCCCTGCTCTGCCTCGTGCCCACTTAACCACGGCCGCCTGCCCCCTTCCTATTTTTTCCTGCCCTTTTCCCTGCCTGAGCTCCCTGCCGGCTCCCCCTGCCTGCTCTCTCGTCACAGCTATCTCTACCCTCCGACCCCAGCCGCCCCAGTCTGCACCCCTCTTCCCCCGTCCTTCTCCTTCCCTTTGACGTTTCTTCCCTGGCTCCTGCCCCCTCCCGCCTGCCTCCGGCCCTCACATCCATGCCATTTGGCTCGGCTGCGTTCCTCTCAACAGCCAGCCATTAGTCCCTCCTGCCCTCCCTGCCCCTGCCCCTGCCCCATGGGTCGCATCCCTGCCTTGTGCCTCTTGCCCCGCCCTCCACGGCCTGATGCCAGCACCCTCCCCTCTCCTTTCACCTCTGCCTCTGCTCCCTGCTCCCTGCTGCCCCCACTCCAGCCCTCTGCCTTGTCCACAGTTCTCGCCGTATCCTCTGCCCTGCCCCTTGCCTTTTGGTCCCCGCCCCCACCCCCGTCTCTTACCCCCCTTTCTGGCCTGGGACCGCACCCCTGCGGTCCCTGCTGCCTCCTCTGTCCTAGGCTGAAAAGTCTATACTGGAGAGGCAGGGCCAGGAGCTGCATAGGAAGCTGGGGGTGCTGGAGGAGGAGGTGCGGGCGGCGCGGCAGTCCCACGAGGAGACCCGGGGGCAGCAGCAGGCTTTGCTTCGGGACCACGAGGCCCTGGCTCAGCTGCAGCGGCGACAGGAGGCCGAGCTAGAGGGACTGCTGGCCCGGCACCGCGACCTCAAGGCTAACATGCGGGCGCTGGAGCTGGCCCACCGGGAGCTGCAGGGCCGGTGAGCCTCCCCCAAACACCCAGCTTCTCTCCCCAGCACCCCCTACCTGCCCGGAGCAGACTCCCTCCGCCGGTCTGACCCCAGCGGGGAAGCACTGCCCCCCACAACGCCCTCACCTCTGCTGCCGCGCCCTGGCGCGTGGCTGAGCTCCGGGGCGAGCTCTCGCCCTGAGGCTCGTTCATCGTCGGGAGTGGGGGGCACCTCGCGTGGCATTCTGCCCCAGGGCTTTGTTTAGAGGCCTGTGCTTAGGAGATGGCAGGCCCGGGGGGTCCAGATAGTCCAGCCGCCCACTCGCCCCGGCCCCACGCCCCTGCAGCCCTCTTAGTCCCTGTGCATCCCAGGCACGAGCAGCTGCAGGCCCAGAGGGCCAACGTGGAGGCGCAGGAGGTGGCCCTGCTGGCAGAGCGAGAACGCCTGATGCAGGACGGGCATCGGCAGCGGGGCCTGGAGGAGGAGCTGCGGAGGCTGCAGAGTGAGCACGACAGGTACCAGCAGCGCCCGCCCAGCCAGGCCGGTTCTCGGCGCGCCCCTCTGGGAAGCCGGCGGGTGGCAAGTTCGTCACCGTCCGCGTGGGGGCCTGCGTTGCCTCCTGTCCCCAGCATGGCTTCTCGGGCCCTTAGGCGGGGCCTGGCAGGGGGTCGAGGGCCCCCTTGGAGAGCATCTCCTCCCGACTCGGCAGGGCTCAGATGCTGCTGGCGGAGGTGTCCCGGGAGCGAGGCGAGCTGCAGGGTGAACGCGGGGAGCTGCGGAGCCGGCTGGCGCGGCTGGAACTGGAGCGAGCACAGCTGGAGGTGCAGAGTCAGCGACTGCGGGAGTCCAACCAGCAGCTGGACCTGAGCGCCTGCCGGCTGACCACGCAGTGCGAGGTGTGGGGAGGGATGGGCCCGGGGGTGGGGTTGGGGGGGGGGCGCGCTGGCTGGGGGGGGCTGGAGAGGGGGCGAGGGGAGGGGGTGGAAGGTGGAAGGTAGCCACCCCGAGCCCCATTAAATCCCCCACCTGCCCCGCCGCCCCAGCTGTTGACCGAGCTTCGGAGCGCCCAGGAGGAGGAGAACCGGCAGCTGCTGGCCGAGGTGCAGGCGCTGAGCCGGGAGAACCGGGAGCTCCTGGAGCGCAGCCTGGAGAGCCGGGACCACCTACACCGAGAGCAGCGGGAGTACCTGTGAGCGGGCCCCGGGGCGGTGGCAGGAGCTGGAGCGGGGCCCCAGAGACCCCTTTGGCTGCTCGTGGGGGAGGTGGTGGGGAAGGGGCTGGGGGCTGACCGCCTCGGGCTTGGCAACGCAGCAGCTTATGAGCTTATGAGCCCTGGAGCGTGTCCGTGTGTGAACAAGCAGCCGGGGGTGTGGCGGTGTGTAACCCGCGAGAGCGCGAGCCCTCCTCCTGCCCGGCCTCCCACCCACCTCCTCCCCGCCTCATCCTCCCAGGGACCAGCTCAACGCCTTGCGCCGTGAGAAACAGAAGCTGGTGGAGAAGATCATGGACCAGTACCGGGTGCTGGAGCCTGGGCCCCTGCCCCGGATCAAGTGAGGGGCCCCTCCCCCCCCACCGGAGCCGGGGACCCTCCTAACCCCTGCCCCTGGCCTGCTCTCTCCGGGCCTTTGCCATCCCCGACGTGGCCTTCTTGTCCCTCCTCGCTCCCTGGCCTTACCCCCTCTTGTGCCCTCTTGCCCCCAGGAAGGGCAGCTGGTTGGCAGACAAGGTGAAGAGGCTGATGCGGCCCCGGCGGGAGGGGGGCCTCCATGGGGGGCCACGCCTGGGGGCCGATGGGGCCGGCAGCACCGAGAGCCTGGGGGGCCCCCCAGAGACGGAGCTCCCCAAGGGCAGGGAGGCAGATGGGACAGGTGGGTCTGGGGGCCGGGTGACCGTGATGGTCCCTACCCCGTGTCTCCTAGCCCCACCCTGGTGCCTGCCAACGCCTCGGCGTCTCCCTTCATCTTGTGTGGCTTGCACGCCCACCCCCGCTGGTCTTCCCTGATGCAACCCGGCCCCGCCTAGATGTGGCTCTTTGCCCCCGGCCCTGCCACAACCCTCTCAGCTGGCACCTCCTTCCTGCCTGCACTGCCACCCACCCAGTCCCCACCCATCCACAGCGGTGCCTAGGACCTCGGAGCAGCAGGGGACTTTAGTGAGAGGTCATTTATCCCAGTCAGCAGACGAGGAAGCTGAGGCCCAGGGAGGGGACGTGCCTTGCCCAAGGTCACACAGTGAGTCAGTGTCAGAGCCAGCACAGGGTCCGGCCTCCCGTCCCCACCCTCATTCACCCAGACCTAACCACCCCCCCCTCCCCCCCGCCACACACTCCCCCCACTCCCACCTCTGCAGCCTCCTCTCCCTGCGCCTCGGCAGCTTCGCCCCGCCAGCCCCTCCGCTCTGCCCAGCCCCTTCCCTCCCGGCTGGACACCCTCCCTGCCTCTCGCAGGGTCCCTTTCACCGGCGCCCATGCGCAGAGCCCAGAGCTCCCTCTGCCTGCGGGACGAGACCCTGGCAGGGGGGCAGCGGCGGAAACTCAGCTCACGGTTCCCCGTGGGGCGAAGCTCTGAATCATTCAGCCCCGGGGACACTCCCAGGCAGCGTTTCCGACAGCGACAGCGCAGGCCAGGCCCCCTGGGGGCACCCAGCGCCCATGGCAAAGGTGACAACCTAGGGTCCCTGCTCTTATTAGCTCCCCAGCTCCGTGGCTGAGGGGGCTTCCCTCCTGTCCCTTGGGTCTCCCCACAAGCCCTGCCCGCCTCTGCTCTGGTCCCCGTGGCCCACTGGCTTCCTTGTGCACCCCCAGGACCTGGCGTGGGATGGGATGGCTCCATTGAGACCCTGTCAGAACACGAAGCAGATGTCAACCGAGAGGGTGAGTGGGGGTATTTGCCCTGCCTGGGGCCCCTGGCAGACCCCGTTCATGGATTCGTCTACCTGACAGTGAGCCTTCGCTAAGTGCCGGGTGATGTGCTAGGGATACAGCAGGGGTACGGCTGGGGATAGAGCAGGGAACATTCTGGGATGGGAGACAGACAGACGTAAACAGCTTGCATAAAAATAACAATTATCGGGGCGCCTGGGTGGCTCAGTCGGTTAAGCGTCCGACTTCAGCTCAGGTCACGATCTCGCGCTCCGTGAGTTCGAGCCCCGCGTCGGGCTCTGGGCTGATGGCTCAGAGCCTGGAGCCTGTTTCCGATTCTGTGTCTCCCTCTCTCTCTGCCCCTCCCCCGTTCATGCTCTGTCTCTCTCTGTCGCAAAAATAAATAAACGTTAAAAAAAATTTTTTTTAAATAATAATTATCTACAACAACCCTGTCCAGTAGAAATAGGATGCGAACTACATGTGTAATTTAGAATCTTCTAGAGCCCTCATCAGAAAAGGAGAAAGAAACAGGTAAAGGTAATTTTAATAGCATATTTTCGTCAGCTCAGTACACCTGAACTGTGACCATTTCACCATGTAGTCAGTGCGGAAAGTCATTAATGAGCTGTTTTATTTAAAGAAATGTATCGTTGTCATTTATTTAAAAAATTTTTTGTAACGTTTAGTTTTGGGGGAGAGAGAGAGAGAAGGAGAGAGGGAGCGTGAATGGGGGAGGGGCAGAGAGAGAGGGAGACACAGTGTCTGAAGGAGGTTCCAGGCTCTGAGCTGTCAGCACGGAGCCCGACGCGGGGCTCGAACCCACGAACCGCGAGATCATGACCTGAGCCGAAGTCAGACGCTCAACCGACTGAGCCACCCCGGCGCCCCCTTAATGAGATATTTTATATGATTTTTTCCTGCCACGTCTTTGAGCCCAGTGGATATTTTATACCCAAGCACATAGAAGTTCCGGCCCGCCACCTCTCAGGTGCTCGGTCCTGTACTAGGCAGCTCGGCCCCAGAATATTTAGGAGGTGATCATGCTCTGGGGAGAACGGAGAGCCGGGTGAGGGAGCTCAGGCACGCTGGGTGGGCTGCAGTTCTAACTAGGTGCTCGGTGTAGCCCGCGGAGAGGAGGTGAGGTTGGAGCAAAGACCCGGAGGTGAGAGTTTGTCCTGTGGACATACCTGGGGAACAGCATTCCAGGCAGGAGTAACAGCTGAAACAAAGGCCTGGCGAGTTCAAGGACGGGCTACAGCCACAGTGAGGAGGGGGAGAGCGGAGAGGAGCCCAAGGGGCAGCGGGAGGGCACAAGGCTTGGGGCCCTGTGGGCCACCGTGGGTGCTGGGAGCTCCCGAGGGGTCTGGCCTGAGCTGAACCTTCCCTTTTAGGCCTCAAGGTGCCGGAACCGGAGAAACGCCCTCTCACACCCTCCCTCAGCCAGTGACACCGCAGGGACTGGGGGCCTGAGAGTGCAGCCTTCTTACCGCTGGAGTCCCCGTGGGGGCCCCAGGCAGCCCCAGAATTCAGGGATCCGGGCTACCTGGAGCCAGCCTGGCTCCTCCGAGGCCCGCATCGGTGCCCCGAGATGGGGCTGGGATAAGCCTGTGGACAGAGGGGACGGCTGGTCCCCACGAGCAGCTCCTTCCCGGGGCCTTGGCTCTGCCACGCGGCCCTCGCTGAGGAGGCCATCGCCGGGTGACCTCCCAGATGAAGGAGACAGGCAGGAGTGGCCGAGAGAGCCCCCTGCCAGGTCCAGGCGGGGAGCCAAGGACCATTCGCCGAGGACGGTGGCCTGGGCCGATCTCTGAGCTGTAGCTGGGCCACGGACATGACAATAAAGCTGGGATACGACCACCTGAGTTTGGGCTGTGTCCAGTCCCAAGGCACCAGCGCCACCGGGCCCAAGTCCTTCTGTGTGGCTGGGGATCTGTGCCCATTGGCTTCCTCACATGGCACAGGGCTGCTAGGGCTTTCTTCAGGGGACGGGCCAGTCGGGCTTGCTTGGATGTCCCGGGGGTGGGGGTGGGGGTGGGGCGGGGGTTCTGAGTAGCCGGCGGTGCATGGGGCCTGAGTCCGAGCTAAGCCTTTGCCTAGGAGATGGGCTCTGGGCTCCCATGAAGCCCCAGAGGCTCCTTCCCTTCCTTCCCAAACTCCTTTTCATCTCTTCCTCTCCTTCCTCTCCTCATCCTCTCCCCACCCCGTAGAATTGCTCTCCTCCCTAGTGAGTTCTCGGCCCAGCGGGATGTCTCCCTAGTGCCGCGTCGCGGAGGGACACAAGGTGGGGGAAGGACGTGGGGTCTCTGACCAGCGCTGCCAGAATGACGCCCAGGAAAGGGGCAATTAGGCTAGATGGCAGGACGTGAGTCAAGGCACCTGGGGCCGCCCAGGGTAGGGTGGGGCTGCCGGCCCAAGGTGAGGCAGCCTGAATGTGGGGGTGGGCAAAGCCGGGAGGGGTGGCCAGGCTGGCCTCCCCGGGATGGTCTGCAGCAGTCTGACTCCTGGGGTTTCCACAGCCCCCTCTTGGGGGTAACTGATGGCCATGCCCTCCACTCAGCCCAAGCTTCAGAGTCCGGTGGGGTGGGTGTGGACACCCTGGTCTCCAGCTGGGCAGAGGAGCTGAAAGCCCCCTCCCACAGGCCTCAGGACGGGAGCTCTGATGGCCATCCGTCCCACCCTGTTGGTGGCTCCTATCGGTTGTCAGGGGGGCTCTGGAGGACAGGCCAGCCGGGGGCCCTGGCTGGGCTGCGAAGGGTGGCTGGGGACTGAGGTGCTTTCACAGGTCGGCTCCGAACGGATGGGGTCAAAATCAGTCACCCCGCTCCACTCCCCGCCCCGCTCCAGGGTCGGGCTTGACCCCAGCGGCCTTTCAGCGCCCCCTGCAGGCGCTCCCTGGGTAGCCGCTGCCCGGGGACAGGGCCCTCAGGGTGTCTGAGCCCCAGGCCCTCCCCTTGCAAAGGCAAGTCCACGCTGTGCGAGAGGTGCTGGGCCGAGGCTGTGCGGGCAGCACCCGCGCGAGGGGAGCCAAGGAGTGAGCGGATGATGGTTTTTCGGCGACCCCTCCCTTTCGCTGGTGGCTAGGAAGCGGGCAGATGCCCGGTTGCCCGGGGGGCTGGCTCCCTGGAGGGGAGGGCTCAGAAGCACCTGTGTGCCCCCCTCCTTGGGGCACGGGCTCCGGTGCCTCATCACCACCGGCTCCAGCAGGCACCCGGGCGGAGTGTCCACCCGGTAGAGGCTCCGGGTTCTCCCCAGGCCCCCGGGCCTGGCTCCCGGTGCTCCCGGGTCCCCAGAGGGTCGCCCGGGGTCTCAGAGCGCACGGCACGGCCGCCCGCCCCGCGCGCCCGAGGGAGCCGGGCCGCCCCCGTCCGCCCGCCCTCCCGCAGCCCGGCGCTGTCACGTTCCAGCCGCCTGACTCAGGCCGCGCGGGGCGGGGAGCGGG